AAATGGGATATTTTTCTCTCAATACAGAGTTTCAAGGGATCTCTTTCTCTTTTCTATAGAATCAAACAAATTTCTCTTTCAATTAACTTCAGTGCACTCTTTCTTTTTCTTCACTCGAGTTTTCCTTCTAAGAAATCTTTCTCAGAAATGTGGAGAATTTTAAATTCACTCCATTCTTTGCTATAGGCTTTTTAAAGCACTCTGAGAAGTCTCCCAGGGCTGATTGCAAGTTTTTTCTATCTTCGGCCTTTTTTCCACAATTCTATATTTTCTCAATAATTCCAAAATTCACATATACCAGGTTTTATCCTTTTCACAATATTTTTATTCTTTCCCAAATTTTGAAATAAAACATAAACAACACTCCTGGGTTTCTTTCACCCTTCCTGTAGTGCTATTCAGAACAGTTCGTAAGACTACGCCCTTTTTTTAGGGGTCAAAGGAACTTTCTGGCACCTTTTTCAGGTACTAATAAATCCTTGGCTCACAACCGTTTTGTCCGGGTCTTCAACTCACAGGTAAAAACCTAGAGGAGACACAATCCAGACCTAATTTGCAGGTGTCTTTTTAATGACGGGGATGGAGATGATCAGGTCCACTGTTGTCAGTTGTTTCTTCTTGGCACTTTTCAAAAACTCTTTCTAGTCTCTGTACTCGAGTTATTAATTTTAACTTTTTGTTTAAGTGACCTCTAGTGCTTTTCCAGCACTCTTGACACGGGAGAGTGTCGCACAAATGGGTGTATTTGGGCTAGGGTGCTTTTCAGCAAAGCAATGGAAATTGACTCACTTTTCTTGCACACTTTTTGTATACAGTACTTGCGTTTGTCTTTTTTCCTGTCGTGGTCCTTGGGGTACTAGGTTGATTGGTTCTTGTGCTTTTTTCTCGCGGAGAGGAGACGACACGGCGTACTTGCTCTCGAGAACGGAATTTGAGTTCACAAAGTCAAAATATAAATTCAATTCACTTCAATTCACTTGCATACAGTATTGGATATATATGGAGCTAGATTATCTTTTGTCATTGATACATGTTCGCAGGAGTTAATTCAGGAAATTGACTCACTTTTCTTGCACACTTTTTGTATACAGTACTTGCGTTAAGTTGTCTTTTTTCCCATCGTGGTCCTTGGGGTACTGGGTTGATTGGTTCTTGGGCTTTTTTCTTGCCGAGAGGAGACGACACGGCGTACTTGCTCTCGAGAATGGAATTTGAGTTCACAAAGTCAAAATATAAATTCAACTCACTTCAATTCACTTGCATACAATATTGGATATATATAGATATATATACTTGTGAGGGTACCCACCCCATGCAAAAAGCAAAAAGGTCGAATAACGTAGAAGTTAAACTACCGACTGCGCCAGTTTTTGTTATCCCAAAAATAAAATACTTCAGATTTCTATAAAATATTTAATATATATATATTTTGATATTCACATCAACATAAAATATAAAGTCAGGAAATTAGGGAAGGAAATAAAATGGGTAATTTCCGTATATAGAGAACCTGCAACAAGTATAGAGTATTTAGGTTAACAAAATCTTTTTTGGGGGATTCTCCAGGCCCTAAAAGTATAACCTTTTTTTGGCATTGAAAACTTGCATATTTTTGCTGAATCAAATCCAAATATAAAGCACGCATAATTAAAGTATCTGTCTCTGTCTCTGTTTTTTTTTAGATTTTTGCTGAAAAAAAGAAAACACGTTTTTCAGCTGTCGCGGGGCTACAATTAGTGTACCTCAGTCTATATAGTCGAAAATGACTTGATTTATTTTATTTCGAATCCTTATTGGAATTGCCCCTATACTCATTCATACAATGTATTTCTCGAGTCTTCTGCAGCAATCGCTCGAATTAAATCGCCCTGCTGCTACTGCTGCTGCTGCTGACTCTTGATGAAATAAGTGCTGAGCTCATATACTGTACTGCATAGAGCAACCCGGTGGAAAAACAAAGCCGAGTCCAGCTCGGAATCGGCCGAGTCTGAGCAAGGAGTTGAGGTACTGCACGTGCTGCTGGGTCGGGTCAGCACCAGCAGAGCCCAAGTAGTTGGCCGATGACAAGTCCGCGCAAGTACTGTCAATTTCCCAGAACGTGGACTTATTGCACGTGCTCTCTTCCTTATTGGTGTCGTCCCTGATCTGCCCGTCCTCGTCGTCGTCGTCGTCGTCGGCTGCCCCCACGTCATTCACCATTATGCTGCTGTGCTGGTGGTCGACATTGACATTGGCATTTACATCGACGAGTTGGGCATCAGCTTCTCCTCCTGCTGCTACTGGTGGTGGTGGTGTCAGCACGGACTCTGCATCCTTCTCATCGTCAGCAGCAGCGTAGACGACGTCGAGCGTGCTGGACTCGACGAAGTAGTCGCTGCTGATTCCTCGCTCGACACCACCCCTACGTTTCTGATGGTGGTGATGATGATGTTGTTTCTGGTGCTGGTCATTCTGATGATGCAGCTTTCCTTGGTGGTGAGTCTGCAGCAGTCGACGCTGTTGGTCCTGCTGCTGCTGCATCACTTCTGCACTCCACTGGTGGATGGCCGACAGCATTTTCAAGCGTTCCGACACCAGCTCCGGGTTATCATCGAGGGCGTCGACGACGACGGGATGAGCTGCTGACAGGGCTTGGCGAGAAAGGGTCTTCTTGTCGAAACCCTGATGTGAACAAGTAAAAAGACATGAAAATAAACGAAGGACTTTCCAGGGGGAAAATGCAGGTGTTATTTGCATCAGTTTTCCTCGAATGAAATAAGTTTTTTTTAAGGCTAATAACACGATGCGATCCGCAAAAGTGACCGAATCAAAATAAGATAATCTCATACTGATGGTCGTGAAGAGAAGAAGTGGAGAAAAACTTGTATAGGAAGACCAAATTAAGGAATAGGTCTTTATAATTATTTGAAATATAGCTGCTTTACTATATACAGGCTGTCGGGATTCCATCATCACGGAAACCTGAATGCGACGGGTGCATAATAATAAGAACTTGTGTTTTATAGTGCACATTTACAGTTTCATTTCCAATTCAACCATTTTTTTTACAATTCCAGGAGATTTGTATGCATTCTGGAGTAGATCATTCTTGGCATTGAGCACATTTCCTGATTGAAGCATGTTTTTGGAAATTCTCATCAACGAACTATTTACAGCAGTTCAGTATATAAGCAAAGCATGAGAGCTGTTGATGAAAGTAGGCTGAAGTCCGTTTTGAAACTTTTCAACTTGGAAATTGAACCTATATAGCATTACCTGCTGCTGCTGGGATGATGATGGCATTGCCAATAAGTCTTTGCCAGGCACAGGCACTGTTTCCGTCATGACTTGACAAGAGGCCCCTTTATTGAAACCATCTCCGCCGGGTCCAGCAGCAGCAGCAGCAGCAGCAGCAGCAGTCGATGAGCGAGAGTCTCGAAATGCAGAATCCCGTTGATGCGACGGCGGTGATGCCCTATTATTGTGACGATGAGCAGCTTCCTGCTGCTGCTGGTCCAACACGCATCCGACAGCCTTGTGGCACATCTTCCGCGTCATTTTGTTGTCGTAAACGCAGAGTCTCGCAGGTAATTGGGTCCTGGTTTGCGTGTGATGAGAAATGAGTTTCTGCTGCCGTCCTGCTGATGATAATGATGATGAGTCAGTTACTGGTGCTGATGCTGCGGGATCTCTTGCGATTTTGTCCTGCATCTCCGACGACTTTCGGTGCAACGATTTCACCAGCCTCTTGTTGCTGCTCTTATTGACTTTTTTAGGGCGAGCTGGAAAAAAAAAAGCAGAGAAATGAGAAATCCATCATGAATAAGAACCCTTTTCGATTTTTTCACAGCACTCGTATACTGTATATGCTATCAAAAAATCAAGTGAACAACGATGAGCGAAAAAATAAGTAGACAAGTTATTGCTACAAAATTTGACTACATAAAATAGACAGAATTTTAAAAAGGTAGTTCATCCCACGAAAGCATTCCCCATGAAAAAAAGTCGTGAATAAATTAGAGAAGAATGTTGCATTTTTTCTACTTTGAAATACAGTAATACAATGTGATGAAAAATGTAATTTTTTCTCGACATACGGAATAATTGCCCTGAAGTTTCCATCTCATCTTGATTCTGCTGGACAAAAATGGATTTGCCGATTATTTGATGCCTTTGCCACAACGCCTTCAATTGTGCGACAGTCAGAGGCAAAGAGCCGTTGGCAGCGTTGAACTCGGTGGAAATGTATTCCCAGATTCCTGTGAGCATCCTCTGCGAAATTGTCAATCGTTGAAAAAGAGTTTCAAACGATCGGCAAAAACTCGAGGAGAGCAAAATCCAAGACCTGCCTGAACTGCAACGCTGTGCACAATTTCATCCAACAGCCGCACGCAAAATTCCTCCGCTGTTTTCGGCACTTTCTGGCGTGAACTCATCGTCACTGCTAATGATCCTGCCCTGCTTTTATTCGATTTCAGCTTCTGCTGATTGTGTGCAATTCCCAATGTTTCCACACATCTGAGGCAAGTGTTATTGGCCCGCAGACGACACTGATGCTCGTGGAAATCCACGGACTCTGTCACACTCGACGCCTCAGCTTTCGACCTGTGATCGACACTCGTCATCTTATTGGCGTACTGATGCTCAGAAGAACCCTCACGACGTTTCCTGTCGTATTTCATCATTTTCAGACACCGCTTTTTCAAGCTGCTCGAGTTCAATGTCGACAGCCCCATTATCTTTGATGCTCAGGATATAAGAGAAGGAATTGTTATTGGAAAAAAGCTATTAGTGTTATTACTCTGAGGACGTTAGTTTTGACGGATTTCTTGTATTAGTGTAACAAGGTAACGATTAAGAATGATTCGAAAGTGCAGAATTATCCTCGAGCATATTGATACAATAATAGCTGAGGATGACGGCACGCAAAAAGAAAAAGGAAAAAAACCCTGTGAAGTTCCAGAAACGTCCCACGCATTCATTTCACCCAATAAATCACTCACAAAAAGGAAACAAATGACGACACGATACAAGAAATAAAATAAAAGTCCAGGAGCGAGAAATGTAACTCATCAGCCGCGTATTAGGGAAATAAAATGAAAAGCACCGGGCACGCGCGAGTTTCGATCAGATCTCGCTTCTCGTCATCACTTGTGAAACTTGTCTTGTTATTCAAAAGTCGCTGTAATAAGGGGCACTACAATGCCTTGGAGCATTTTGATTCTTGGTTGATGTCCGAAGACCCGGACTTTCTCGTCCTGGAAGGATTCATTGTCGAAATGTCTTCGTCGTAAACCACTCCGAGTTGGTGGCGGATCTCGTCTAGAATTTCGTGGACGGCGAGGGTGTCGTCCCAAGACATGGTTGAGCTCTGCAGTTTCCCTGCTCGAATTATGCAAAAATTCGTTGTTGGAGGAAATTTAACGGAGTTGATGTACCGTAATTCAAATAGAGATATGAGTATTGTATATGAAAAAGGACATGGCTCTTGGGCGACGATGCTCGTCACCTTTCATGATGCACTTGCGAACCTCCTCAGCCTCAAAGCGCAGAATGTAGCTGTTCATGAAGTTTGTGTTGGGCAATTCAACAATCGGCACTTTGAAAATCACTTCGTTGCTTTCCATGTCTTCCAACACATCCGTGCACCAAAACGGCGTCCGCAACTGACGAAGACAAACATTTTGAGGCTTCAACTATTGTCATTCACGTCACTTTATTCCACCCTTAGCGACAATATATACCGTATAAAATTGTATTAATTTGTACTTTATACCAATCCTGCCTGAAGCATACTGTATATTGGAAATAATTTCGAAACTGCAAGCGGCGATGTGGAATGTATTTAAATTTATATTACATGTGCTGGTCGAAAATTAATGTAAACGTTGTTTCAACCATTTGGTGGGCATCACACCAAAGTCATTGCAAACGTTGTCCATTTTGAGCCCTTTTTTGGCGGAAAAAAAAGAGCTCCTTTTTTTAATTCGCATCTTCACGCAAAGCTCAGGATGAGGGTCAGAATTAGAGGTAATAGTAATTTTATAATTGACCAAAAATTGATCTCATCAGATTTGATTTCATAACGATTGACATTATTCATTATTGATGGTATGAGAAAATGGAGAGACAGCAGCTGGTTATATTATCGACTGTCTCGGTGGAACTGATTATTCGAAAATATAACGTCACACCTTGATGACCCCCTCAGTCGCTGTCACACTGGCTTCGTTGGCCATGCTGATGAGGCCCGAGTACGTGAAAGCAGCTGATCTCCCGCCCGAGTACTCCATAATGACGGAAGCTGACCAATCGACACCCTCGTCAGTCAAGTACCCACTGGCAATTATCTTCTCGGGCTTCTCCCGCCAAAACGCGACAGAGGCCAGATGAACGCAATAAATGCCAATGTCCAGCGTTATCCCGCCTCCGAGCTTTTTCATGCTGCACGCGATGATGAAACGAGGATTTTGCAGTTTGGAACACACTAATACAATACACATACTAAAGGATGGGACATTTGAACATGCTGAGAATATACATGGCACATTCCATTATTCAGCACGTACCAGTTAAAATTGTAGTAAACGATTAATCGTTCTTTTTTGCGAAAACATAGCAAAATTAAGGGCACATAGCCAGGAACAATTATGACTGCTGCTAGCTTATACTCATGGAAATATTGATGCGAAAAATATACACAGATTAATTCATTGGGTTCTCTGCAGTAGAATAAATCTCTTGAATTTCAGGCAAACATTGATCATTCTATATAAATATGAGGGAATAGAATAATGTATTCCTCGATGTTTGGATGTGATATACTCACCCGAGTCTTTCAACGTCTTGCATCGGGATTCCAAATGTGCAATTTGCATGCTTGACTTTTCCAATCTTCTCAGAGCATATCATCTTTCGGAGCTCGACATAGGCTGGGTTGAATCTGGCCCACATGGCCTGAGGGCAACCAACAAACATTTCAATATCTCAACCCTTTTCACAATAACTTTGTGCATATTATTCGCCATCATCAGAAATACCTCCATGAGAAAAACATTGGATTTCTTGGCGTACGCAATCAGTTCTTCGCACTGCTTCCTGTTCATGCCCATCGGCTTCTCGCACAAAACACTCTTGCCATTGTCCATCATCATTTTGCACACGCAAACATGGCTTGGGTTGATGGTCGCAACGTAAGTAACCTCTGTGACGCAATGAAAAATTATGAAATGGATTATTGCTCTTGCTTATTGTTCACCATTATTAGCACATGGTCGACACCGAAACTATGTAATGCCAACTCGTCCCACTATCCCGCCGAAATTACATCATCGCATCAGCTAGGTGTCACTCTCGGCAACAATCTCAATTCTCTTCAATGCCTACAGTAATTTCACGTTAATTTTGGCGATTATACAGCAATACTGTAACTAATATCTTGGTGACCTGAAAGAAAGAAAGAAAAAAAAACGGACAAGTGTCTTAATTCACCACTTGAGGTGCTCAACCGCAATCCAGTAAGTCAGCAGTTTTTTTTTTTTCAAAGACCACAAATAATGTCAATTATTGGGGCGCCAAAAAATAAGAAAGCTTGATTTTTCTTCGCTCATCATAGTCAAGAAAAAAAAATCTCACCAACGTCCGGGTCCTTGGCGAGCTCCTCGTAACTGCCGTAGAATTTCGGCACGTCGAACTCTTGTGCGAAAGCCTCCGCCTTCTTCAAGTCCCTGGCCGCCACTGCCACCACTTCGTGCTCCTTCTTGTCCAGGGTCTGCAGGGCCGCCGTGAAGTCCTTGGCGATTCGGCCGCAACTCACGATGCCCCACTTGATCTTCATCTTATCTTATTAATTAATTAATAGCTGTGTTTAGTGTGGGTTACACCTGTTTATAACGGTGATTATCGAGACTAATAAATAGAAAGGATTTTCTAGAGGTTTTTTTTTCTTCAGCTCGTTTTTTTATATTTCTGCTGGTCGCGGGCGAGAGTACAGTATTATCCGAAACATGATGAGGGCAGACGATTGTATAGCATATTTTTTTGTCGAACCGGATTCCTCATCGGAAGAAAAGGCTACCATTTGAACTGGGACCCAAGAAGAAGAAGAAGAAAAAAAACAACCCTTGCTCATTCGCTTTATTCTTCAAGTGATGATGCAACCTTCATTGGTACTTGAGGTCTTGCTCGTAAATGACCCCGTTCTTTCGCCGGACCTGGGTGAGAATGTCGTGCATCAAAATGGAATCTTCCCAGGTCATCCTCGGGCTCTGCTTGAGTCCTGCCTTCAAGCACTTCCTGACCTCGATGGCCTCGTTTCTCAGAAAGTAGCTCCGCGGGAAGTTCGTGGCCAAGCCGGGTTCTGGGAACTTGAAAGTTTCTGTCGGCGTCACCAGTTCCGGACTCGTCCAGAACGGACTCCTCAACTTTATTTATTTTTTTCAGGGATTACAGCAGGACATGTGACAATTATATGAAAAGAAAAAGTCGTCGTTTTCTCTTCCACCATTAATAATACAAATGAGGAAACTCACAATCATGGAACCCTTGGTGCCAACGATGACTGCTTGATTCGGCAGGAACACGTCGATGGAAGTGACAGAGACAGCCGTGCGACCACCGGAGTAGACCAGAGTCGTCGTCGTCGACGTGTCGACACCGTCGTCATTGAGGAACCCAGTGGTCACGATGTCGACGGGCCTCTCGCGCCAAAACACCATGGTTGCCAAGTGGGCGTTGTACACTCCCATGTCCAGCAACCCGCCGCCATTTTGGTCCTTCCTGCTGCAAAAAGGAAAGGAAGTTTTAATATCTTTCTCTAAATTAATCTGAAAATGTCAAGTGTTCATCGCGACCGCTTATTAATATTAACGTTTTTTTTGTTTTTGTTTTTTTACTTACTACATCCAATCCCTGAACTTCTGATCATAGCCGAATAAGTTATTGACATGTAGAACTTCTCCAATCGTTCCCTTGTCGATTTCTTCCCTCATCTTAATGTAGACAGGGTTGATCCTCGCCCACATTGCCTGTCGACCGAACATATGAAACTTTTTAATATCTGAGTGAAAATAACCCTATTAGATTATTTCTATTTCAAGTTGCAGCTGGATGCAGCATCAGTACTGTAGTTGGTAGACTGTGTCAACAAAAAGTTGTCGTATAAAGTGCAGTGCTGTATATACTTGAATTGACAGATCGAGGCCATCATGAATTGGTTTGATGAGCATTTGTCATACAGGGAATGATCTGGAATTTTCGAGAAATATTTCCTTCAATAATAAAAAAAAACCATAAAGTCACAATTTTAAATTTGTTAATTTGTTTTGGTCATGCAATCAATTTGACCGAGAAGGGCATCGGTTACAGTCTCTGTTTCCATTCCGATGCTCTGAAAAACGATCATGATTGGTCACAGACAGACTGCAGCAAGCAGCATTATAATTATTCATTAATTTTTTTCTGTTGAGAAAAATGGAAATCTCTCTGACCTCCATGAGGAAAAGGTTCTTTTCTTTGGCGTATTCGGTCAATGCCCTGACTTCTTCCACATTCACTGACAGTGGTTTCTCGCACAACACGTTTTTCCCGTGGTCCATGAAAAGTTTGCTGTGTGCCACGTGGTCTCTGCACAACGTGCCAATGTACACGACCTCTGTTTGGAATAAATAATAGCATCAAACATTGCTGGGACGGTTAAAGCATGAGCGTGTCCCACCCCAAGCGACACATAAAAAATAATAATAGCTCGATACGAAAAAAATAATGTAAAAATACATAAAGAAATGTTTCAGGGAATGAAATGAAAAGCGGCGGAAAAATACTGTATTTAGTAATATTTAGTACACAGTCCCGAGAAGGCAAGAACCTCTTATTATAAAAAATGTGGCTTCAGGTTATAGGGAAGATTTCAAGATGACGACACAGCTTTGTCTAATAAAATTGAATCCTTCTGCGCAAGTTACCCTTTGTCTCGTGCGTCGGAAAATATTGTGCACAAGTCTTGTAATTTGCACTGATCTCGTTTTCTGCATACACTATTTTGAACTGCCTGATGGTTGTGATTATTTTAAAAGATGATTGGTTGAGCTTTTACTTTTCTATAAATTTTTTTGCAGGAAATAAACACTCACCGATTTCAGGGTCTTGAGCCATTTCTTCGTAGGACCCGTAGGACTTGGCAAACCCGAATTTCTCTGCAAATTCTTTTGCTCTGCCGGCGTCACGAGCAGCTGCAGCAACTAGTCGATGTTCTTGGTCGAAATTCTCGATAGTTTTTATGGCCATCACGAAATCAGATGAAATCGCGCCGCAACCAACGATTCCCCACCGTGTCGCCATTTTTATAAAGTGTTTATTCTAAATGCTTTATATTCCTGAAGAAGAAATCTTGGTTACTTGAACGTAAAGTACAGTACATGATCCGAGTTTTTCTTGACAATATGATCCATATGATGAAAACAAGTGTTTAATCGTGCTTTCTCGAGTCTTCGTCATAAACGACGCCGATTTCGCGCCGAATCGTGTCCATGATTTCATGCATCACCACGGAATCTTTCCACGACATTCTTTCAGATTCCAATTTGCCTTGTCTGATACAATCTCCAACATGAATGGCTTCGTATCTGAGAATGTAACTGTTGGGAAGGACAAATTCGAGTTCTTCAGGCACTCGAGTGATGAATTCTCCTTTGGGGGACACCAGCTTCGTGGTGCTGCAGAAGGGTGCTTCAATCTGTAAGGATACGAGAAGACAAAATTGGAATTTTTCAGCTGCATTTGAATAATTTAGATCTGCTTACTTGCTTAGGGAGATTCCGTAAAAATCAGAAAAATTATAAATACATTTTAAACTCGCTTTTTTATACTTAATTTCACGATTTCCACGCATCATACGCGCGAAAATTTAAATTTTAAACTTTGCATTCCAGGCAGAAACGAGTTGAGGACAACGCTGGAATTTCCTTTTTAATTTATTTATTTATAATAATGTAAAGTATATATCTTTTATAAAACAGCAAGTCTCGAAAATGAACATGTAATTATTGTGGCATAAAATTCCTGTCAAAAGGATAATTGCAATGCAGCTGCCATGATGCTCGTCGCTGGTCATCACAATGGCAATCGTCGTGTACAGTATTATACACATGCAGCCACATACTGATTCATGTTATTGTTTCTGCCATTATACTGTATTTTAATTAACCTTGATGATCCCCTTTGTGCCGACAACGAAGGCTTCATTGGGCAACTCCACACTGCAGTTGGTGGCCCAACTCGCAGTTTTCCCACCCGGGAAACCCAAGATTGTGCAGTCGTCTGTGTCCATTCCTTCAGAATTCAGGTTTCCAGTTGACAGGATCTTTTCCGGGAAACGGGATCCAAATGCAGTCAGGGCCAAGTGCACGTTGTAAATGCCTCCGTGAATCAAAGATCCACCTCCTGCTCGTCTCGTCCTGATGATGAATTATGGATGCATTCTAAGAAGATATGTACGATCCAAATAATAATGTGCTCCTTAAAGCCCTAGCTCTGCATGGAATCAGCATTTCAGTTCCTCTCACGAAAATTTTTTAGTAAACATCAGAACCCACAATAAAGAAGAAATACTGCGTTTGTATATGGCTTTATCAAAATTGTTGTCATTTGTGTAGCCCAAATAATATTTGATCACGAGCCGTCATGCAATAAGTCTGACAATTAATTTTTCAAACAGAGGCTAAGGCTATGAAATACTTTGCAGAGAACTCCTCGGGCCCAAAATTTTTACATATTCTTTAATAAATGTAAATGTACTACTGTGTAGGGAACTGAGGTCATGCACCTACGAGACAGACTCGACTGAGGACAGGTCGAACCCAAACGTGGATGACACGTGAACCACGTCTCCGATGACGCCCTCTGCAATTTGTTGCTGCAGTTCCAGGTAAACTGGGTTGAACCTGGCCCACATTGCCTGCAAAATGATGGGAAAAAAAGTATGTGTTGGTTACAAAGCAGCTAGAGCTCGCGCACAATAAACAAAGCTATCGTCGAATGATGAATTATATGAATCACAATCTCCGAACAGAAAAATCGACGACTAGATCGAACAGATTAAAATTCACGCACGTCATTTTATTCTACGCAGAACGCTATAATAAAGCCCTTCTTCGAATATACTGTACTTTTTCGTGATTAAATTAGTATACCGTGGAGTACTGTACATCAGAATAAATATCTCTCGGGAGAAGGCGTAACAAAACAAACAGGTTTCTGCTCTTGACAACTCTGAAATGTTCAGCAGCAGTAGAAATCATATTCACATCAAGAAAAGAGTACATACCAATCTCCGTTCATCATATGAAAGTAGAGAAAGAAAGAAGAAAATGCTCTAATACCTCCATCAAAAAGACCTTTTTCGTCGCTGCATATTTGACCAGGGCTCGAACTTGATCCGCGTTCATGCCCATGGGCTTTTCGCACAAAACATGCTTCCCCTGGCTCATGAACAGCTTGCACTGTGCGTAATGACAACTCGCCACTGTGCCGATGTAAACGACATCTAAGTAAGAAACATTAAAACTACTCCAGGGATGTGTCAATGAAGGCTCGCCTGGCGTCGCGCCAAACAACCAACCGGTCACTTTCAATTCAACCCGAGAAGAAAATCGGCTTCACATATCACATACCGATTTCCGCGTCAGCAGCAAGTTCCTCGTAACTGCCGAAAGACTTGGCAATTCCGTGCAAATCTGCAAATTCTCGAGCCCTGTCTGTGTCACGTGCAGCAACCGCGGAGATCTCATGGCCTTCGTCCAGCACAGTCTTCAGAGCTTTCACAAAGTCGCCGCTGATGAGGCCGCAACCGACGATTCCCCATCTGATCACTTTCATCTTTGCTGCTCAAGATCACTCGGCTCTGCAATGGACAGGCCAAGAATATAAGTTATATTATCCATTGAATACACAGCTTTTACAGCTTACTGCAACACAGAGAAAGAAGCCGTGAGCTGAAACGAGACTGAAACAAGCTGGAGTCGAAGAGCTGAGGTTTTATCTGCTCGTTGTGCTGCTTCTATACCCGATCTCTGCTGGCTTCATCTACAGATGCATGTGTGAGGGTTGCTCGTAAGAAGAGCGTGGCGGGTTCGTATGACAGGGCGTATTTTTCTCCTTATATATACTGCTGTACAAGCAGTTGGATTTTGTCCTTCTTTGAAATAAGCCCAACCACCGTGACGGCTCAAAGTTTCAAGTGCAGTGTACATGCGTACGTGTGTGTGTGTGGGTTGTCCGGGTGTTATCTTATACTTCATGGTTACACTTTTCCTGAATAAAAGGGGGGCATCAAGAAGATGCGTTTCGATGAATTAGTGATCGTGTACAAGAGAGCGCAGGAAACGAATACAGTACAGTGGGGTCCCGAGATGTGGACAGCATACATGCTGTTTGCGTCCTTATATATCAGATCACGTTTTTCCGTAGACTTCAATGGGAAGATATTCACTTGGTTTTTATTATCATAAAAGTTAAGAATAGAGTCCCCCAAAAACGAGAAGAAATGGTTTCTCAATCCCTGTACAGAAAATAGCTGTGCAAAAGAAAGCCACACAGAACCTGATCTTTTGGCATCCAGAAGGAGCTCATTAAGCAAAAGAATAAGAAAAAAAAATTCTGAGGAAGAATCACAGGAATTTGCCTGTTTTTGATCACTAATTACGGTTCAGTGATTTATGATTTTTTTCAGCATGAATAGCTCCATTTGATTCGATATATAAAAATGTGAAAAAATTCGCTCATTTTATAAATGCTGGAAAGGTGTCATTATCTCGAGACGTTAATTGCCTATGACGTCGGGGCCGATTTTTTTTCACGTTATCAGCGTCCCTAAGTCGAATCGTCCGTATTTCGGAGTCCCATTATAATTGAACTTTCTGAATGCTTTGTATGTCAGCAGGTGCGTTATATTCCCTAATTTATTCTTCATTTTCTAAAACTTTTGGATAGAACTGCGCTGACACACGGCCAGCAATCGGTTATATGATGACTAGCAAAGAACAGAAGAATAAGGCTCCAGTTATTATTGTCGCTGCATGTTTCCACCGTATTTTTCCAGATTATTCCTTACGCTCAAGCGTTTGTATCGTGATATGATTATTCATTCGTTCGTCGATCTCAATATCGGGAATGAGGCAGCCAGAACCTTTTGGAGCAAGTCGATGATGCACCCTGGAAACTTAACTTTTCGAGAATTTTTTTTTATACAAAATGTCTCAATTATTGTTTCCCCTGGACAAACTGATCAGTACTACTCATTCAAAATATTGAAAAAAATAGGCGACAATTTGAATTGCAGTATTCTGCTCGTTTATATTCCGCGTCCAAAAAGGAAATGAGAGTATTATAGGGCGGGTGTCCATCACAGCAGCTCACAGCAGGAATGGAAATGGGGTTACAATTTTTTCGACACAGTCAATTTCACCGATGATTTTAAAAACAGCATGTTGTGTCTCATATCATTACGAAGAGAGCTGTTTCTGATGATGGTGCTGCTGGTGTTTGCTCTTATTGTTACTGCCGTGGAGATTCCCCATGAGTTCCTCCTCCTCGGAACTCGTGGGATGTGAGAAAATGGCCGAGCAGGCATTGGTGATCCTGGGCGAGGAGTTGGTCAGTTGGGCCGCCAGTCGCTGAGCACTCAGCACCAGCCCATTGTTATTCGCGGAGTTGGGCTCCTGCTGCTGCTGCTGCTGATGATGATGCAGGCCGCCGTACGAGGAAGGGGACGCCGCGAGCTGGCCCCGGGTTTGGGCCCGGGTTGCCTATGGAAACCGGAGGAAAAACTTGGTCGTCAGAAAAGGAGGAAGCAATACGAAAAAAGGTCGATTTATTCCTCCACGTATTATTCAACGGGGTTCTTATTTGAAAGCCGAGAAACAAAACAAGAAAAGGCTCATGCGTTCGAACGCATTTATAATTATAGTCCATTAATTATAATTATTGCATCATCGTCATCATCAGTGATCATCAGCACTGAATATATAGCATAGATATTTTCACTCGACGTGATCTCAGCAGCTTTTGAACAAGCATGTTTGGAATACAAATGAGCGCCGAAAAAAATACAAAAGACGAAGAATGATTGATGAAAAACGGAAAATTTAATCAAAGAAATTGATGAAAAGACGCAATAAGGTCGAAATTGATGAAATCAAGTGCTGCACTACCGTGACCATAAGGGTAATAAAACGAAGAAAAGTACGGTACATTGCTCAACACCAATTCGCATTTTCGCGTTTCTTCTTTCGATGTCGACTATTTCGTCAAAATCCAAAAGTCTTTGGAGCATACATGTGTATACGACATGTCATGTATACGCATTACCCGAATGTGCATAAATTCTAGAATTAGGATGGACGTTCATTTACTGGATTTCCGACTTCTCACAAACATTTATGCATCAAGAATTCCGAATTTTGAAATAATCTTGGTGAAAAGATTTCAGGCGGGAGCACAAGACAAGTTATTGAACTCATGCGTCATACATCAGTTGATTGAAGGATATTATATTTTAATCCTGAGCATCGAGATGCACAAAATGAAAGGAAAATCCCGAAGGGAAATGCCCTTTCCGCAAACTAATTTCATAAATTCGGAATCGATTCCAATAAGTCACGAAAAATAATTTATGAGGCTGCTGTCATTCGAAAAATGAAGGAAAAAAACGAAATTTACCTATACAGTATACGGACGCAGTAAACGGTCTCGTTCCGAGTTTTTCGAGCGACTCGTAAACGAAAAACAAACGGTTGTTAAGGGAGGACCAATGTTACAAACATTGCATCCTAGAAACCACTTTGTTGTGCAGCGTTCCAAACATTTCACCCCTACACTTTTTTCGGCTTCCTGCAGCATGTGCGATATGATCATGTTCGAATCGGATTTTTATTTCTCGACTATTTATTTAAGCTCATATTCTGCATATGATGAGGGCATGCTTTTGCATCGTCGAATATATTTCTGTATCCGTTATTTTTAGACTTTATTTTTCGTGGGATATTGGAGGGTGAAATTTTGAGGCGAAGTACTGTATGACCAAACGCTGATCATCGAAACAACGTTTACAGAAATACAGTGATATAATACAGTAATGATTATTTTTTTGTTTTGCCGGAATAAGGACGAGATACAGTATTATTACCTCGTCTCGAACCTCTCGTCCAAGTGTCTGTTTCGGATGGATGAAGGACATATTTACCACAAAAAAACATAGGAAACTTACTATAATTAAAGAAAATGCAATCATGACTATAACGAGCGCGATGATATCAAGTTATTGTATAAAAATCTGGAAATATGTCCATCGATATGAGATGAAGAAGAAGACCTCTTCGTCGTCCTGCAGAAATCGGTGCAAATGGTGGTGATCGTTGGCTTGATGCCCACCACCAGCACCACCACCACCACCACCGCCCAGCAACAATCGCCGGCGTCCCAGCCCTCCGCCAGCACCACCGCCGCCTGTCCTCCGATGATGCCCCGCCGCCGACGAGGACGACGACGACGGGTTCCTGCTGCACAGCAAGTAGAAGAGCAGGGCCAGGGACACGAGGCCCAACACGCTGCCCAGCAGGATCGTCGTCGTCACGGCGTGCTCCGTCCGCTGGCCCGACGACCTCACGAGGGCCTCGTTGGACCGCATGCTCACGCAGCCCGTGTCGTCGATCGTCTGCAGCGTGCATCGACACGACACCGAGTGCGTCATCGACGGCTGGAACCGGATCCGGGCTCGGTCGTACGTGTTGGGTTCCCCCGGGGACGGCAGTCGAACCGAGTCGATGGGACAGGGCTGCCAGGACGAGGGCAGCAGGCTGGGGTTCGTCCTGCACTGCAGCAGGTACTGCGACTGTCGATGTCAACAACATGTAAAAAAAAATATATATATATTGAAAGTGAAAACAAAACAGCCACTTATCTTAATATATATACAGTATATACAGAATGTACACTGTTGAAACTCGTTAATAACTTGAATCTTCCTCAGCCGAATACCATCACATGCTTCGATTGGAAGTTGAGCATCAAGTCAACTCAGTCAAGAAGCAATTTAATGCCAAGAACATGTCACCAATTACAACTTTTTCACGCTGCTGTTCTTATTCATACTCGTTATATGGGCGTACCTCATTTGAGGCATTATTATATTCACAGATTTGTATTTATTTTTAAATTGAAAAGGTCAGAATAACTCTAATTCATCATCTGGGCTACATTCATGACCCATCAGCTACATACAATGATGCTTGATTTGAAAGCTTCGTTTATTATATTGGTGTGCTAGTTTTATTTGAGTTCGTCATATCACCAGTTTTTTGGGAGAGCCAGGATGGGAAGGAACCAGCCATCTGAGAACAGCAGAACTGTTGCTGGATTCCTCGTTGATCAGGTCGTAAATCGGCCGCGGATTTTTGAAAGTATGAGGCAGCTTCCGCAAGGAAGTGACCGGACGTACTTCCTGGTACCGCCGGTCTTCATCCTCCAAGTGAGCGCCCACGATTCCGCTCGTCGACGAAGAAGTGTCCCTTACCTTCTCCGCAAAAAAAAAACCCAAAAATGGTGTACAGTAGTCATTCAAAATAAATATTTTGAAGGAAATTTTGAACCATAAGATTCAACACCTGCGCAGATCTAATTGACTGTTCCGCAACAGTTCCAACTTCGCCGATGAGGGGGTCATCAGTAGTCTTGGTCATTTCCTCGGTTTCCGTGGGACCGAGGAAATAAAAGGTCGACTCCAAGACAGCTTAATATGATGGTGAAAGAAAAAGAGCATAAGTTCCTCGATAAGATTAAAGAAAAATACGCTGAATTTCTCGAAGAAGACCACAGCAGCAGACACGTATGAACGAACGAAGGATTTTGCTCAATAAGAAGAGCTTGGAGCGTTGGCATGGACTTGAAAGAAGAAGTCAGTTTGAAGCAATTGCATTTCATTAAATTGAATTCATCGAAATACTTTAGAGTAGTGAAATTGTATAATATATACTATCATTATTACTGATGAGGTATGAGCACAGTGTATTTTAGATGACGACGGAACGATAATAAAAAAAGGGCAAAATTATTCAATATAAACAGCTGAGCTCCTATCTTTGAGATTATTTTTCAAGCATGATACTCAATTCCATTAATATTAGTCGGAAGTCTGTGCTTTCTGCTTGGTACTCTGGTGAGTTCAGTTGTCAACTAGCTGTCTTTGAATAAAAAAAAAGAGCAATCTTCCGTAAAAGACATTAGATACATTTTATGGCTGTGCACATGACTCACAAGGTCCGAAATATTCGTCCAGCAATTTGAATCTCGTGAATCTGGAATCGTCCGAAGAGTCCCAACGATCAACCAGTCTCATGATGAAGGTTCTTTTCAATTTCACCGACTAACGAAATCTAATCTTTTTCCCCCCGCGAGAGGCACAGCGAAAGAAGTTTAACTTGTGAAAGTTGCTAATCAGCAAAGAAGAAGTTTTCTTTTTCTTTCAAACTCAAATCCAGAGAAACTCGAGCATCTGCTCTAATAGTAAAGGACGAATAACCTGGATTAACCCATTCGATCGCAGCTGTTGCTGGTGAAAATTCCCAGACGATGTTATTGCCTCCGAACGCGTTAAGGGCGTGAGAACAACTCCTCGAAGCAATTATTCATCTTTTCCTTCCTCTTGCTCGCTTTGAATCGTCGAAACAAATACAGTACACGAAATATTTTTTTTCCTCTCCTTCCTTCCTGAACTACCTCGGGGTTTATTATTTTTTCAAACCCGAATTGAATATCTTGAATGGTTTTCAAACTATCGTCTGTCGTGCCGTGATGACTGAAATTTTTGTCGAAAGCATCCTTGGGCAAATAAAGGCCGGCGTTTTCGCGTTGACATTATTAGTGATAATTTTGTCATTTTTCACCAGCAATGAGACATTACTTTGTGAAAAGCAAATGGAAATCAAGATGGCATGGCGGGCTGAAGAAAATGGGGCAGGAAATTGGCCCTAAACCATCAGTGCTGGTGGTGGTGGTAAAGTTCTTCGCTGTGCATTCCGGGGCCTCATGAATTATTTTCTGCATCGTGCGCGAACGAACGACGTTTGCCCTGCGGTGTAGCAAGGAGAGGATTGAGTTTGAAAGAATTTCTCCTATCGCACCAGTTATTCCCTTTTAATCCACAGTCGTATGCAGGATGAGTTTTTTTTATTTATTTCGTGTTTAAATGAATTTCTAGAAATTTTCAATCAGCTATAATTAAGGCTTTCCTTTTCTCGGTATGACGAAGGCATGTGAGAATCCTACGCCAGCAGCACAGACATCAGGAGGTGCGGGTCAAACTTGATGTTAACTGGCCTATAATCAGCATGAACCAATCGTCTTGTACGATGAGTTCAACTTAGTCCTTCTGGTGACATTTATACAATGGTGTACCTTGTATTACAGCAGCAGGGAACATGATGCTGTGCGCAATAAATCAGAACATTTGTCGTACACCTTTTTTCTTTATACGAATCGCAATTTTCCATTGACTTCCATTGGAAATTATTTAATTATTTTCAAAAATCCAAACGAATCTAAAAAATAATTCTATTATAGATGACACTTGTTAGCGTTTTTAAAAACTCCTTAATAAATGCTATGTAATAAACCTGCAATACAAACCACCAGAAATAAATGTAAAAAAAAATTACAAATTGTTTTTAAATGAGTTTTCATTATGATTTTTGGACAGTGTAGATCGAAGATTAAAAACGTTGTCTTTACGGGGGTTAAGTTCCAAACCAGCAATGCGCCTATTTAAAATCAGTTTTCGCCGTTTCTGGACAAAAATCAAGATGGAAACCCTTTTTCAAAGACTTTTTTTTAGCATTATTACCCCCTTTATATTCAGATGAAAGTTTTGAAATTGTAATCCATAATTTCTGGGAGAATATTGTGATGAAAACCCCAGTTTTCAGTAATTGTACATGAATATGATGAATGTAAGCATATTATTTATTGGGGACCGTTTGGTACTTATTGAAGCTGAAACACGCGGACACAATTTCAGTATGTATCTATGCAAATTTCGATCCTGTACTCTGTATACTTGCTGAAAAGAATTTGCGGCAAAGATGCAATCAGCATCAGCAGGCATGTTAACTATACTGTAAGGTGACATTTATATACTATATACATGAATAAGCTACAGCTAACTATTTACAGTATATATATATAGAAGCATCATATCGCTGCGACACCTGCATGTATTGTACTGTAGTTGCAGAGCATCTAGGCAACAAATGGTCCAGCTCTGTCTTGCTCTTACATGTATAGAGGTATACACATATATACGAACGTATACAGTACGGTATTCCTGTCCTCCCCGAACCCCATTCGACTGTTATCGTCATCGACGGCATTTGTTTGGCATCAGCGTTTCCAACGACGCTTGGACCCATGATCACATGCCGTGGAAAACACTCAGTTCAACCGGGGTTACCCTGTATGTATATGTATAGAGAACAAAAGCAGGAGGACACATTACGCATTCAAAACCGGCCGGAGGGTGGGTTCTTCGTTGCCTGGGTGACCGACCGTGCAACCCATGCACATCAACAGCACGAGTCCCATCAGCTTATTGCTCGCCCTCATCGAGGACGAGATATGGCCCATGCAGCAGCAGAAAGAGAAATCCCTGCAATATTTACTGTACAGTAATAAAAGAAGGAAACCTAGCTTCCGCCTCGTCCTATTAATTTCAGCTCTTTTTCATATAAAGTACGTATTATGTTACGTACTGTAATCAAAGCGATTCCCTTCAATAATAAGTCGAATTAAGCTTGAAACTGCTGGACTGAACAATTAGGAAAATGCTTGCTGAATGCTGGTTTCCCACAAGTATGACCTGTTATGTCAGAACATTTGCGTAAAAGCTAGTAAATAACGATGCATTATTGTGTAAGTAATGTAGACAGTGTATTTATTTCTTTGTCTCGTATATTTGACACGCATAAGTTATGTCCTTGAGAATAATTGAGCAAAATATATTTTCACTTGAATTATGGTAATCAGTGCAATCAAACTTTTCTCTAAAGAAACAAATGAGGAGCAAATGTTGGGAAAAAAATCCTATTCGTACACTCGATCGTGTTGGCAACTATTTTAATTCGAATTAATGAACGGAGTTTAAGACGAAGCAAATATTCGTAAAAGGACCACTTTTATATTTTCAAGGAAGAAAAACCATACTCTTGATTTTTTCATTGACCCATCCCATTTTAAATGTCTGATTTCCGAAAATTTTGAAATGGGAAGGATTTGCATGTCATAATTAAAAAAGGATAATTCCGTGCGTGTATTTGATGACTACTGTATTTTCACTTTACTTCCTGCTCGAGATACTGTACGTTGATTATTTGGTACGCCCTGACAGAAAGAAAGAAAAACAGGAAAAAGTAACAATTATTGCCATCATAAATATTTTATGCGTGAACTCAGATTTTTTTTGTTTTTTTTATGCTCGGCGCAGATATTCTTTTACAACAATGAAATTCGGAATTCTATTCCTGAATTTGTCCTATTAAATGTCCGGAGAATATGCCATCACTTTCGAAATGATGAGGCTAATTTCTAACTTTCTTCCTCTGTATAATTATTGACGCCTATACCGTTATTTAGGGAAGTGCACGCACCTCCTTCCTCGGGAAATCCGGAAATTCCAAGTAGAAGTTCCTGTAGTGTGAACTGCAGGAAGAAAAGAAAAATATGCATAAAATTGAAACGTGTAGATCACCTGTCCCTTTTACAGGAGGGTGGGTATACATACACTGGACTTATGTTTTTAATCAAGCAAAACACTTACAGCACAGAAAGAGAGAAAGACAGAGGAATCGAGTGAGTTCTTATACAAGTGAGAGAGAGAGAGAGAAAAGGGGGGTGCTGGGTAGTGGCAATTACCCCAGTATACTGTATAGGGCGCTTTTGGGGTTGACCTGGGTGTGCGTGTATGTTCGGTGGGGGGGAGAACACACCGTTATAAAACCCGGGGGTTGCACCTGGTGACGGGCACAAGCGTCCAGGTGCGCGTGCCGGCCGGGTATACCCTTATTCTCACTTGCACTTATTCCACTTCCACTACTGCTCTCCCTTTTTTATACTCTCACATCCAGTCAGTCAAAGCAACGAGCAGCAAATATAAGGCCTATATATATGTTCCCAGCATGATGGTTCCTGGTGTAAAAAGGATAACCTGAATATCCTCTTGTGTATAGTTGCTGCTCTTTTTCCTCTTCTTCTTCCTCCATCACCCACTCATCATGTTTACAAGTACAGTATATATACCTGTTGTACATTCGACGCGCCGAAAAGAGGGAAAGTGGGAAATTTCGCGAATAAAAGGTGACCTTTTTTAGCGATGCTTTTGAGAAGAGGTTTGGAGAAGTGAACAAGTTAGACGAGTTGCAGGTTTTAATTTTATTTTTCTTGCATAGTATAGTTTAAAGTATCGTTATGAACTACAGCGAATTCCGCAATAACATTCAGCATGCACTTGGCTGTTATTATCCTAAATTCTAAACCGGGTTTTAAAAAAATGCTCCATTCGATTAAATTTAAATGTTTATGAGTTCAGGAAAACATCCGATTGCTAGTCACTGCATCAGTTTTATCAAGGAAGACTTTGAGCCTCCAACATAAATCCCGCAGTACGTCGTTCAAATAAGATTTCAGGATGAAAAGCTTGGTGTTGCTTCAAATCAAAAGTCCCAGGGTTATGAATCATGGTAATTATCGCAACTTATTAAAGAAATATAGCGTGGATTATTTTGGGCTTGGTCTTTCATCCGTTTGTTTTTGTGGGATGAGGCGAGCCAGGAGGTTTAAGAAGGGAAAAGTATTGTGGTCTGCCGATTTGCTACGGTATATAGAGACAACATAATCCCAAATCTGCCTTTTTTTCTCTCGTGAACCCATTTGGCCACCAGAGAACCAGCCCCCTCAGGTGCGAATTTGGTACATGAGGGGTGAACCTGGGAGTTCGTGTCGCCAGTCCTCAGCCAACATCAGATGTGAACCCACCTGGTCCTCTGGAAACAGTTATTAAATTTTTTTTCGTTCACTTCCTGGCCAGGGTTTCCGTCCTCACCGTTTCCATCCCGAATATGAAGCAGAGGCTCGTCAACCCTGGTTTGTCACCTGGTGTGTGTGTGTGTGTGTGTGTTTGTGAGATGTTAGCTAGTAGTAGTTGTTGTTCTGCTCTTTATTATCTGTGGAGTTACGTGTGTCGACAACTTTCAATCCTAAAGCAATTTTTAAATTTCAGTGTTGAATTAAGTGTGGAAATTTTATTTAAACGTTACAAGCGATGAAGATGAGTTGCTTATTATTATTGCAAGAATGTGGTGTGGAAGCTTATATGGATCACCATCCCCCATGTTCGTCATCAGCAAGTATGCATTTCATTTTGCCGTTTTCTCACAATAATAAGCAACCAAGCAGAGTTTTTTTCTTCTTTCTATCTTTAAAAAAAAAGATATTTGTTTTAAAACGCTTCTTTTACTGTATACAATATAGTCTACAATTGACAGCAGTTGTTTGATTGTGAATTTATTTCATATTATACTCGCTCTATACTGTATAAGCAAGTAATTGGAATGATAGTTGCAA